TTGCTCATTTGGTCATGAAGCCATCATTGTGTCCACAAGACATGACCTGAAGGGGCCCGTATGCTCTGCATTCCTTGGAAGTGAAGAACCGAAGACTGCGAGCCTATGAGGTGGGAGACGACTGAAAGCCCGTTGCCAGTTTGCTGAATGTGAATTTGAAAACCTGCCGCGATTGGATAGAACTAGGAAGACAACACGGGGGTACTGGTCGCAAAGCTCTGACAGAAAGTCACGTAAACTCTTTGCTGGAGTGGGTGTCCGGAGAACCAATAATAACACTTGCAACACTGTCTGCGTTTGAAGGCACAGTACGAGGTTGAGGTCAGTACCAGTACCGTCGCGCGCTCCTTAGTCGGTCGGCTAATAACAAGAAAGAAGTTGCACGCCATTGCGGAGTCAGTGAACACACCGGAGAATAAAAGGCGATGGAAATCATTTGTCATGCAGCTGCTGCATTTCCAGAAGGAAGGTCGTCAACCGGTGTGGATTGACGAAACTAATTTCAATCTCTTCTGCGCACGCACCCGGGGCCAATCACCACGCGGGAGACGCGCAAAATCTGGCAAACAATCGCGGCCAAAATGTGCACGTAGTCGGAGCCATGACAAACAACGGGTTGATTGCTTTTTCCGTGTTAGGTGGTAGTTTCCACAAGCAAAGGTGCGCACAGTGGCTGCGACAGATGCTTGATGACAACGGCTCCGATTTTATCGAACGGCGTGTTGATTTGTGACAACACCACGTGCCATGCAGACTTGGAAACCGTTTTCCAAGAAGAACGCTACCGATCCGGGAGGATGTTACGATTAACACTTTACTTCCAGGCGCTGAACCTTATGGAGGAAATCTGGAGTGAAATCAAAAGTTATGTGAAGCAGGTATGCGGAAATGCTCTGAAGGGACCCTGATGGTGCATTCTGCAAAATCAAATGGCTCCTTCGTTTTTTGGAGCAGGTAGTGTGGCAGGCAAGTGGTTGTTTCACACGGCATCACTGCAAGAAAATGGTGCAGCACATAACGGCTAATTACAGACGTGTAATTCACATGTCAAATTTGTAAGCTTTTTCCCTTTGTATAAAATATTCGTTTGTAAATGGAATCAGTCTTCCTCTTACCTCATCGTCAGGTGAGTTAGTGGTGCAACGCATGCTCCGCTCGGTTGGTAAGTAGTGTGCAACATATAAGAATGTACCTGTTTCCGCTTCTGTGACCTGAACCGACTATGTGAGAAATAAAGCGCTAGTAACACAGTGGGTGCTAACTTGTTGGGCCTGAAGTGAGTTCACATCTAGGCGGTGTTTTTCGTTGCCGTATATGTATGGTGTGCAATTGAATAGGGAATCATTCGCGAACATGGTTTCTAGCTGCTTTACGTTTCTGAAGAGAAGACTCCCCGCTACCGTTGCGACGGCATTAGATCGATTGTTATCATTGCACTGCAGGTTAACTGTGGAAAGTACTCGGAGAATTTTTCGAAAGATGTATCCGCTCATGTTGTTTTCCGCGAAGATTTGCCAAGACGCTGTCAAGAAACAAGTTGCCGATTAACAACATCAATCTGTCAAGGATAGCGTCGGCGCACATCGACGCCTGTCTTGAACGAGAAGGAAAATTCCTCGAGACGCAGAGACGGTTCGCATGCATGCTCAAAGAGTTGTCGTTGGTTTGTCGGTTGAAATTTGAGGCCTTTTCCGCTGACATTATCCGTCGCACGAGAACGAAAACAGTCTGCAATCTGCAGGGTTCCCAAGCAAAAGATCCAAATGCTACTTTCCCTAATGAGTGCTTAAAGCACGTATACAATCTGCCATCTGTTCAGTTCACGCGCACATAATTGGAAGTTCTCTCACTTGGACTAAAATACCGATTACCGCCGAAAGCAATAGATACGCTCAACACACAGGCTCGGTTTGAGTATCTGAATGAACAGCTCAGTGACCACACGCCAAGATCAATGGAAGATGCGAGTTGGTTCCGTGCAAAATTGGTAGATATTGCGTACCAATACATTAACACGTTGATAAGCTAGAGATGCTGTCTGAAAGCCGAACACTATATGGCCATCAAAGAGTTAAAACAAATGGGGTAAATAATATTTCTGCAGTCGGATAAGGAATCAGGCAATGTGATAATGAACCAGCCTCATTACATTGCAAAGATGGAATCTATTTTGGGGGACAGACGGAAGTTCCAGTTAGACAAGACACAAGAAAACATCTTGGTCGAGAAGCAAGTGGCAAGGAAACTGCAGCTTCTCTTACTTAGTGGCTACATCAAGGATTCGCAATACAGGCGGTTGAAAGCGACTGGCACTCAGAGACCCAGAATGAGGGACACTCCCAAATTACACAAGGCAGGTGAGTCACTGCGCCCGATTACGTGTATGACCAACTCATCGTATCACAACGTTGCGCGGTGGCTAGCGAAAATGCTGGACCCGCTACGCATACTCCTGGCCACGTATTGCCTAAAGGACTCCTTTGAATTAGTCGAGACACTGAAACACGTGTCACTGGGTGCGGAGCACCTGTACTCAATAGACGTCGACTCCCTATACACAAACGTGCCTCTAAGTGAGACGGTTGCCAATTTGGGTGACTTCACCACGAGTCAAAACATGTCGGTTGTCCTGCCCCTGGAGTATTTGAGGTATATGATCCTATTATGCACGGAAAACATACGGTTCGACTTTGAGGGGACTGCTTATAAACAGATCGACGGCGTCGCCATGGGTAGCCCTCTGGGACCAGTATTAGCACACATCTTTCTAGGTTTGATAGAAGTCAAGTTACTGCCAACATTGGTGAAGCTACGTTGTACAAGCGGTATGTGGATGACATCCTAGTCTTCACCAGCAACGAACATTTTGCGCAGCTGTCGACAGTTCTGAATTCAATTCGTCCAAAATCCTTCTACTCAAAGTCATCCAAATCTATCGGTGTCCCATGAGTTGGAGCAACACGATAGTCTGCCATTTTTGGATATACTCATAAGGAGACGGACTGATGGTACACAACAGCGCACGGTTCATCGCAAGGCAACTTGGAGCGGGCAGTACTTCCACTTTTCCAGCTTTGCCCCGGTTGCAAACAAACGTGATCTAGTGAAAACGCTCTTTTATAGAGCCAGACGGATATGCAGCCCCGAAGTGTTGCAAGCTGAAGAAGAATTTTTACTCAAAATCTTGGTGTCAAATGGGTATCCTGAGAAGTTCATTCAGATCCACAGCATGCCTCCCAAGGAGAAAATACCGGTGTTAACAGCAGAGAAAAAGTGTTTATTTGTTCTTGCCGTTCATGTGTCAAATGATATCAGATATAAACTCTGGTCCGCCCTTACGCGCAACTACGCGACCGCCAAGTTGTGACTCAGACATACAACGCGAAGCCTTGTTCTTCATGACAGTCAGAACAACTCATCAGTAACAGTTCGGCCTCTCGCATCGTTTAACAGTTCACCTGCGGTTGCGGTTACACTCAAATGGGCAGGACTGGCCGTCAGTTAGCTCAGAGGGTAGCTGAACATGTGGCGAGACGGTTGGAACAGCTGATGACGCAACAAAACGAAGTGTATGAACCGGGGGCCCAGCATCATCTATCACAAAGCATCTCTTGGCAACTCGACATCAGGTGAACCCAGAGATTGCGTGCAAGGTGTTATTACGCAACAAAAATCCGATAACTTTGGCAATTAGTGAGGCTTTGCTAATTAGAGCTTATCAATCTGTGTTGTGTGCAGAGAAACTATTGAGAATCAAATAGGTTACCGTGGTCTTGATTTTGACATTTGGATTCGTGTGCCAATTTTCCCCTGCATATAACTGTCTAGCGGTTAGGATTTCCGGTTTTCACCCGGGCGGCCCGGGTTCGACTCCCGGCGCGGGAGCCAAAAATGCAGTCACCCTGCCGAGCTCAGCGAACACTCAGATCACCAACTGAACAACCTGACCTACCAACATTTGTTTCCATATAACTGTCTATAAACATGGTTTCACAGACTTAATCACAACACGTTGACAGTAATCGTTTACACTGCTAAAGCAGCACCGCCTGTGACACACTGCTTAACGCGCGGCTTATTTAAACAACACGAAATCATGCATACATGTCACCAACGTCTGGTGGTTCGGTGACATGTCGTCAAGAGTTTGCTAGCCGGATGTTTCGCTGAGTACCATCTGCTAATACTGCGTGTAGTTAGGAAAAAGATAGAGGCAACTAATCGATATGAAGAAACTTAAAAAAGTCCGAGTCGGGTTGATGTATGCCATTTTGGATGGGGTCATTAAAATCGGCAACGCCGACTATTAGACTTTGTCTTATACTGCGCGGCTATGAGGTCAGTAATGTCTTTTATAAGGTCATTTTCCTTGTGACTTAGATTTTTTATTTGACTTTAAGGTGGAAATGAGCTCATTTATATTTTCAATTTTGCGAATCAGTTTTTGTTACGTGGGTTAAGACAAACTTGCCGTACTCTAGCCTTAAAAAATTGGGCTTAACACACTGGGTTAATATGAAGATAGAAATCAGCATACGATTAATGGAATGCTAGAAAAACCACTAGCCTCTCGGAGGCATGTATTAGCCAACCATAAAGACATTTCCCGTGAGTGAGTAAAGTCCATACTTGTTAAAGTGGTTCGATGACATTACCTATACAAAAGATGAGTGGGATGTAATCTATAATCTCTCCTGTGTGACGTGTACTGGCCCACGGTCTGACAGGAAAGATGACAGTTAACACTACACAAAGAGTCATTCAAGCAGAGATTTAAAATCAGCTTATTAGACATGTTCGCTCCGTTGTACAAGTACATTACCGAAAGAAGACATGTTTGTCAGGTATCTATTGAGCTTGACCGCCAACATTACATGCAAAATCAAGCGACAAGGACTAGGATTCGTGTGGTACGCAGGTGGGTTACGACGAACGGTGGTTGGATGCATACGAAGTTCAAGTGAACCATATAAATGCACATAAAACAGTACTTGTCATACCAAATCTCAATTGATAATTCTGTATATTCAGATGTTCGGGAATTTTTGCGGCATCTTCCCATTCCTTGACCAACCGGCCAATGACGCCGTAGTCTTGAAATCTTTGCGATTCGGTGTAAGAAACGTTCAAACTAGGCGGGTAGAAGCCTGAAATGCAATAAGCGTACAGTGGCTTTAAACCCACATGAAGTTAAAATCATGAGAAAAGTATATGTGTCACATGATTACCTAGAAAGACAAAAGATGCATCAGCGGTACGCCTGCACACTGTACCGACGCTTTGTTGTTACGCGACGACCATAACCACTTGTGCGACGGCTGGCTATAAGGCGAGATCGCCCGTACCTACGCGGATTCGAACCGGCGACCTTCCGGGGATTACCACGCAAGCGCGTAATCATTTCGAACAACATCCGACGGTTATCCAGAGCAAAGAACGAAAAGTGAAGTCTGTTGCACAATAGCTACATGCGAATTTGTCCGTGGGCGGGTCTACAAATAGACCTTGAGTTTATTGAATTTTTACGGTGTGTTAATGCACAGTTTCACAATGTCACCATGATTATGCTTAGCCGACCTTAACAAATGACGTAGTAGCGTTTCCAGATGAACGCGGCAGTTACTTATCAGTTAAAAGCAACCTTTGGTTTCTCAATTTCTGGCATAAAATTTAGATTCGCTTATTCCACGACCGATTTTCATCGTTACCGCCACCAGCGCATTGGAATAGTACGAGCAAAAATCCAATTTCTGTGTTAGATTAAGAGCCAGTGCAACTGGAACAAATGTAAATGTTTGGAATGCAGGTCCCAGTGAATACAACTGAACGTCTGCGCGGTGTGCTCCAAACCAGAGATAAGCATGTGCCCAATTTCTACGTACAAAAAAGTCTACACTTCTCCCCAACGCAATACATTTGGACAATCTGCACACTTGGAACTACTGTGTCTGTCGTGCACTTAGAGAATCGCAAAGTTCCGTTTGAAGTACTGCTGCTCCTCTTGCGTTGATTAAGGATTGATGGTTGGCTCACTGAGAAATTTAAACCTTAAGAAGTGGGATGAATTCGCATCGAACAGAACGGTGATTAGCACAACGATACTATAAGGCAGTTACGCAGTCGGTGATAATCCTGAATTCGATTTTTGCGTCTACATGTTAATGAGCCAACCATATTAATAAATTCAATTTTTCTTACCCAGTTTCTTATGTATTCTGTTGATGAACTATTCTTTGTAGTTACTCCGCGTTGGTATACTAACAAGCCGGTCGCGATCTCTGGATCCAGAGTAATTCGATTATCGGATCGTATTTGTACGCTTTAACTGAACCTAGCATTAGCAGAGCTGTAGGATACTGGGTTTGTCCCCTAGTTGTGGATAGAGGAATGCCTTCCACCTGCAGATATCGCGAGGTAAACAAGCATTCACAGACAATCAGCAGTAACGTCTTAAAGAGTGTGGGATTCCGAGTTTACCAGCTGGTTCTCCCATAAGAGTTTGCACAACGATGCGTCAAAGACAATGTGACCGGAAACAGGGTCACTGATTCTTAGTTCTGCAACCAAAGATGCGTCTACAACGGAGGGCGGACGAATAACCTTGATGACCATAGGCTTTATAGTGACTGCCGCGAACACTAGGAAGGCGTATTAACCAATTGACTGTCAACCGGCTATAGGTTCGGTTTGCAAGAAACGTTTACTGGTCGCAATACTGCTATGCACGCGCTCTTTGGGCTCACTGAGGTGGTTGTTACCGCTCCAAAGCCGCGTTATCCATACCTTGTTAGGCGGCTCCCAAAAGTTGGTGATGTGCGTTGATCGCTCCGCTATTTTGTGGATCAAGTCTTTAAGAGCTAACGTTAAGGATTTCATACCCTAAGCCAGCCTTCTCTCATGATTTGAGCAACCGAAAGTTCCATGCCTACACATTTTATAGAGTAATGTTACAATGACTTTTTAATTACCATATTTGCTCTGTAAACGATTTCCAAAGCCGAGGTGCTGATGAGCGAACCCTCCAGGTCGCATTCTACTACATTACAAATAAATTACTTTGTTCCACGTTTGTCTAACTCACCATCCTTGTTAACCTTCCTCCATTTCTGAGTGCAAAGCATATCACTTTGGGTGGGGGTTATCGTTGAACGGATAATCTGTACAAGCCCGGGGTGTCGCAGTCGTATTGGTAAGGGGCTTTTTCTAGCGTCACTTACCAACTCAACCTAGAAACTTCAATGTTCGGATCATAAACAATCGTCGTTTGCGCTATATACACCCCTGCCATCGGTTCAATATAGTGGGGACACTCTTGGAACCGGTTGAGAGGTCATGAGAGAGAAAGATTTAAAACAATCGGTTGGCGTATTTATTGGGCGACGTTTCGTTCTTGACACAAATGTGTAACTAGACTCTCTGTTATTTGGACTATCCCACTGTGCCTGAACCACTTGTGGTAACAGCCCGGTCTGTGATCACAATAATCCATCGTTTCATATCTTTGTTATCAAGATGGTAGCCCTTGCCCTCTATAAAATGACACTCCAAATGCATACTGATTCAGAATAGCAAAAAGAAGCAGCATACTGATTCATCTGAACGGACGAAGCGAAAAATTACCCAATAAATGCACCACTGTCATCGATACTTCTAACTCAACTGAGATCCGGTTACAGGACACCAGTGCAAAGTCGCATCTGGCTTAACGGCTATCACGTTCCGCGAACATTTTCAAGTTGCGCTGATCCAGAGACTCGACTGTCGAAGCCGCTGGTCCTATTAGCATCAAGGTTTCGTTGAGTTCATGTATGCGACTGGACCTTCCTTAACGGTCCACTGTGTGCGATAGGATTAGAAAGGTCAGTGAAACCACCCAGCTGAGAGGCCCTGGTCGCTGGATGTGGGCTGTGTAACCGTATACTCTAACGAAATGCAGTCTAGACTCAATTAAGTATAGCTTCTATTGTCAACCAAACAACCTTTATAAAAAACGCCACACGGACACCGCGGTACTTGCCGAAGGAGTAGACGCGCGGGTCCGTAGGCTGGAAGTTAATGAACCTGAATTCGGTGATCAGAATGGACATAGTACTCGAAGGGACATACAAAAGCTATCGCCTACATCAGCTTTGTGCTGATCATGGTGTACTTTTGTCAACTTCCGCTAGAGGTGATCTTAGCGTCGACGCGCTGCCTAGAGACCTCCAGCACTTACGCAGCCTTGAACACAAGCTGATCACACCCCTGGCGAGGCTGCATAAAGAGCAGCAAATTAATCTGGAGTAACTACCTCACTTCGGATCATGCGCTCTTGTGTGCTAAGGCCACTTTGGGTTTGTGTGGCATCCAGTAGCGTCACAGGACGCGGTTTGACGAGACCAACGTTTCTGCTCCAAACGTCCTCAGCACCTTTCAGGCGTTGGCTTCAAACCTCAAGTGTCTCTTTCTCATACAACGATGCACACAGGGCGCATATCAGCAGCGTATTGCACAGCTCGACGAAGCTCATCTATAGCTTCGCCAGTGATGAGTGTCCAATCGGAGTGATCACATTTACTTAAGAAACGAGTCAGACAGTCAAGGGAGGGAAAACTTGACGTCCAACTACGCAGTTCCCCTGACCAGCTGAAGTTTCTCGTCTCTTGTTTAACCGAGTCGATGGAAGGACCTTAAAGTGTAGTCGTTTCTAGAAGTGTTCTGAGGATCAGACGTGACGTCAATTTTAATAGTCTCCTTTTTCTAACTAAGCCGTTTGTTTCCGATGAGCTAACTTTTCGACCAACAGTCAACCACTTGATACCCACACGATCTCTTCCCCCTCTCGTCGTGCGCTTCTCACCGGTCTTGAGTGCTTTCCATTGCGCAGTAATACAATGCAGAGCTTAGACAACTCTTCCGAGAGGATTGTGAAGCCCGGTAGGACAAGTGTGCCATTCAGAAGTAGCAAGCATACAACTCGGTAAATTTTGTAAGCTTCCCCTCTTGGTCCGATCCACTAGACGTTATACTGAGCGCATTTCACTAAATACTTGAACACTGAAATGTTCGGCATACCAACTGCGATTAATTCAGTTGAACGATCTGCTCTTTGAAATAGCTTGTTTAGGTAGGGTATCATCAGTACGCCTGTAAGCAGTACCGACGCTTCGCTTCGGCGTAATCACCAACAGTCGCGCGCGGGCTAAGTATACTGCGAGGGACACTCGGTTCCCTATGCATGCTCGAACCCGCGCCCTCGGATTACAAGACAGTTTTGCGATCCTTCAGGAAACGGGCCGGAGCAGGGGAATACGCCGTATCTGTCCTGCTTGTTACTCGACCCAAGTGTGATGATGTAACAATTGCGAGAACGCTTGTTTGTTTAAAAAAGGTACTCTTGTTGTTGTTTTCGCTAGTTTCAATTCACCTTATTTTCCTACCGCTTTTATGTTGTCGTATTGTAGGCTGGAGGACAGGCAGTGACGGCTGCTGCGAGGACAGAAGCATCACGAAGACTGTGGGGGACGAAAAAGAAAACTGGTGCAAAGATGGAGGGCAGACGAAGCCACACTGCTCTGATGGAACGAGACGAGAACGGTTCACGAGCGGCGTCCGGTAGTGAGTCTGACCCAGACAAAACGGAGAGGATATTCAGTGAGGTTCTAACATCAAAAATTCCCTACTCATGAGTACATGGAGAGGATATTCGTCTAGAACGCAATAAATCAAACAAGTGTGCTGCTACTGCGAGCTCCCGGAACGAACCCAAGCAGAATGATGCATCCACAGTCAGGCAAATCATGAGCTGTTGAGCGACTATAGGTTGATTAGAATGGGACGCGTAAAACCGGAGATAAGGAGTAAAATGGGTATAGAATATTCTATCAGGAGGTCCTCAAAGTGCCTGAACGTGTCGCCAGCGGAAGCCAGGATAGAGTGTGTGTGTCGTGAAAAGGTGACGTGACTCATAAATGCACACATGCGTGAGTGGCGGTATAATTAGTGCTCGCATTAATAAAGATTGCGCTTCATTGAAGCGTCGTTCTTGCAACAGTATGGTAGGGAGGCGGAAGGTGCGCTTGCCCAAAGGACGGTTAGATCATTAAAACGGAGACGGACGAATAGGGAGACCGATACCATGGGGGCGATTCGCTGGAGAAACCCAGGCC